AGATGGCAGGACATCAGAAGCGCGTTCGACGTGGTGGCGGGTCGGGCTGCGGATGACTGCATTGCCTTTCCCTCGGAACTCCTGGTGATGCTGGCCTGCAACTGTTTCCAGCAGTCCGTTCCGTATTAGTATAGTCCGTAGTCGATGCCAGAATCCGTTCATGCATCTCGGTAGCCGGAGACCCCCGAAGACGGGAAAAGCTGACGCCAGTCGGTGACGGACGGCCTCGGCCATGAGCCATCTACACTCAAATGGCTGATTCTCCACAGTATTCCAAATGCAGGGCAGGGTAACCCGGCGTAATGCCGCGGGCCAAATGCTCATAGGACCAACTGCCAGTCCTACCATTGGCAGGCTTGGAAACGTCTTCCACAGTCTGAGATCCCACGTGTGGCCCGCCCGTTGGCCCTATTGATGTACTTTGCAGCATCCCCTGCGTTGACTGAGACACGATGTACGATCCGGCTCAGCTCCCAAGGTCCATGGAATTGCGTACAACGGCGTATCACAATCCCGGCAGCCTCTAACAGCTTCCTACCTGCCTGCCCGCTGCCGCTCCAGCGAATAATGAAGGGGTCTTCCAATGTCCCGTGCCTTATTATGCACACAGGCCGCGGTTGAGGTAGCCGAATACGACCCTGCGGGATAGGAGACAAAACCTACAGGATTAGAATGACATGTCAATTCGATGCCCGATAAGAATAGTATAGTTGCCAATAGCTCGGCACGGTTAAGTCACGAGACACGGAGCCGCACAGATTCAAGACCGTCTCTTTTCTTGGCCACCACGGGATCGCCCAGCACAGTTTGATCATTGACAAATGGACACCCACATCTGGATAGCTGCATGATCGAATAGGTTGAGACGGGACTCCTAGGGCTCCGCATCGAGGGAAGAACACGTCCGATGTGCTAGATACAAGGACAGGGTGACTCCGATGGGGCTGGCGTGAGAGGACTCAAGACGAGGCCAGGATGTTGGATCTCCGCTGACTGCATGATCCTCTGTCAGATCCGCTAAAGAGCCTGCGGGGCGAGAACTGCCCAGTTTACCGATCTACGGATTGCCTTCCCTGCGTGCAGGGATGACGCAGGGCTCTGCCTGAGTGATGCCGACGACGCGGCGACTCCCGGGTATCGCAAAGAAGCTCTACTGCATGCTGGTCTCTCTTGAAAACCGGGTGCAGTGTGGAAGTTTTGAATGCAGCCTCATATTCCTGGTTGATACAGCCTGCCCTTTGCCCTACCGGTCTGAATACATTTCCATAATGGTGCCAGGATCAGCATGGTGTGTACTCGAAACGATTCATGCCGCAGCGACTGGGCGGATTCAAACAGAAGCCGCTGTACATTAATACTTAATGTAGCAATCCATTGAGGAAAAAGCAAGATTAAAAAACCAGTACGTGAGCTTCTGGTGTCCTGTGTTATCACCGGGATCATGAGCCGCGCCTCAGCACCTCTGACTCTTGTAATACTGCGGCTGGGTAATGTGTTCCTCTTACGGGCGCAAGCGAGCACTCGTGCGAGGCTCACGGCTTCATCAAGAGTCTAGCACGAGCGCAATGCTGCAGGATCTCGGTTTCTCCCTCCTAGATGAAGTGGGATGGCGGTTGGCTGCAGCGCGAGGGTGTCCCAGGCGTGGCCAAGCTCATGCTGTGCTACCACATCATCACATTTCGTCACACTGTCCCCCATGTACCGATCATGATCCTTTAAAGTAGTAGACTCGGCTCCGTGAAGCATATGCGTTTCCAAATACAAGTTTTGAGCGATTCAGAGTGCCACCTCGAGATCTAGGCATGGGGGTATGCACCATTACCGATTTCCTGGATATGCAGCATGGATCGGGAATCTATCATGCAGGAGCAGGATGGTGGTACACATACAGAGGTGGAACGCGGAGATGGCCGATGAGTGGCTTCTCACAGCGCCTCTGCTCTCATCGTGGCCTCGAAATCAAGCATTGGTGAAGCGCATGCAGAGGGTTGAAGCGTTGATCCAAGATGAATTCCAGCAGATTGTGAAGCAGGAGAATAGCAAAATATAGAAGTTTGTAAAGTCGACATACTGTGATATTTGGGTTATAGTCTGGTAGGAATTTGGAAGCTACAATGTATGTAGACAGGAACGTCCAATTAGTAGTATTGCATCGATATCATACCTATCACTGGAGAGCACTGAGTAGCTAATTCCCGCTTTCAGAACATTTTCGAGGACGGGGTCGCTGGAATATGGGTGACTCGTAGCGCAGACCACCCATGAGAATACCTTCAAGTGTGCAGTGCTCGACAGCTTCCCCGTGTGTTTGACTTTCGTCTCTGATGCAAGCATTTGACGCTTGGTTCGGTCCAAACGGTTTTGTCGGGTGGAAGCATCATGTCAGAAGCCTAATTAATTAGCATCATTCCTCCAACGGCGTTTCCAACAATTAGTGGAATTTATTCCGGAAAAGCAAGACCGAACCAAATGGATCGTATGGCTAAAAGGCTTCCGAATGACGATATAGACATCCAAGTAAATATTGGATGTTCGTGTAGAGCGCTTCAAAATCCGGCAATGGCTGTTCATCGGCGTCCTCCGCCACACGGAGCTCTGCGCTGGACGGCGACCTTATATCGTTCTCCATTTCGAAACAGAGCTGTAGAGCCACCTTTTGCGATATTATGCATGATGATGGCTTGTGGTTTCCAATCATGTAATGATTGAGTCGAAGCTGCTTGTTCATGTAGTGTGTCTGCGCCCCGTGCATGAAGCTGATTATCAACTCTGAAACTCTGGATATCATGGCCACGAATGCCTACTTCGACGGCTAGGCAACAGAACTCCAGTTTTACAAGCTCTGATTCTCCATCCGGTCAAGTGACTCGGAACATGACCAGAAGCAAATGTACGTGCGCGGATAAACCCACGTATCCTACACCCTCGCCCCAGTGGCCGCACGGCGCGCGCGATTATCCACATGCAGGCTCGCTAACCGGTAAGCATCGGACACAAATGATTGGACCAGAGATGTAAGTGGCTTATCCCGTAGCGACACTCCGGAACGCGTGGAGCAGGCTTTATCCCCGTGGTGTTGTCGTGTCTCAAATGCTGCCGGGAACTCGCAGGACCTCAGAGAAACGTGACGATGCATGGGGTCTAGGTGATGGTGCTCGTCACGCTGGGATACGCGTGACTCCACCATCTTCCACTTTGGCGACGATGGAATAGCTGAGTCACAATCAATTCGCAACAGAACACCCGAGGCTTGGATTAAGACATCTGAACCCAAGTCACTGATCTGGGCACTCATGCCTGGTCACGGCAGGGTCCAGGCCCAATACATGATCTCCTTGTTTGAACACGACTTGTTCACTATGGCGTCTCGCCATAATGAATGAACGGTCGACGTATACCATCTACTTGCCAAGTGCAGCTCTTGTGACCTGTTGCTCGTTTCATTTTGCCCTTCTGGGACGAAGCCGGAAGTTGAGCCAGAGGGCATCGTGTGCTTGAATGTCTAATTTCCTAACGAGTTGTATTAGGGAAGGGAGGCTGGTGGCCACGCGGAATCGGGTATCTCCTCGCATGGCCATTGCCGCGGTACGAACAATCTAGCTACCCAGGTAGTCTGGACATATTTTGCGGCACGAGGGAATGTTCAGATTCCATGCTTGTGGGCTCGTCGTAGTCATCAGTGGAAGGAAATGGTTGCGGTAATTATATCGGTTTTGTCTCCATGCTCATTTGCAACAAGACTTTTATGGCATAATGCCACCGGGAACTTTTGGCTTCCAATATGTAGCGATGACCAGCAGAGTTTGGCTTGGGACAGTAACAAACAATATTGACGGTTCGAAACCAGGACAGTTATCTCTGCAGTTTTACGAGTCCCAATACTGATGCCGTACATGATTATCCGGCATAAATAAGCACTGAGGAGAGAAACCAGGAGTTGACAACAGCCCGGATGGCTTTTGACGACTTCGTATTCTACAGATCTCAAACTTGGGATCGCCCACGCCGTAGCAATATTTGACACTTGATCAACACGAGTGCTGTAGCGAAACACGATTGAATTCTGCGATTTTACTGATTCAAGTGCCCAGGTGTATTATTAATGAGTGAGCCTCAAGTATTAATTTTCACGGATCGTGAACAAGAACACGCCCAGGGTGGTAGGAATTTAATCGGCAACCGTCGCATTTCAATACTGGTGACACAATGGACTTTATTTCCCTATAAATTTGTAAATGTAGATAATCTGGCCTAGGTAGTTTGAACAGTGATTGCAGACAGCGACGTCGATAAAATTGTTCGAGTTCCGGAGGAAGATCCCAGCAGACGCATTTCATGAAACAATTCGTCCACCCCTGGTGCATCCGGCATGCCAGTGAAGCACACCCATGACGGATTTTGCCAAAATCACACGCAGAAGAAGCCTGGGTCGAGAGCGGCGGCACTGATCATTCATACTCATGAGCAACGGTCGGGATATTATGACAAGAAACTAAACGACATCCGCGGAAAACCACTACCACTTGGCTCGCAGATCATCACCAAGGTATGCGACGATGCGAAAGAGAAATCTAAGAAAGGGGATAAGAGTTAGGTGGGCGTGTGACGAAGTTGCTGAGCAACTGTCCATCATTGGTCGGGCAAGTGCAGCAGGGATTCCTCGCGAATCTGCGACATGGACCAGGCCACGGACGAGTACCGAGATTTGTACCACCGTGCATTATTGCAATCCGCGGATGGCAAATCTACTTTGTAACCGCGGCCAGTGGATAGATTTTGGTCTCTGCGGACTTGTCGGATACCCGCAAGATGCAGACCAAACTTTCAGGCATGCCCAAGTCCGTGACATATGTTCTGCCGTAATCCGCATCAGACTGCACTCGAAAATCCGATCCGAAATCGGTACTTGGCCCAACGGCTCCTTGTGTGACAAGACTGCAGGGTGGCGTTTTCAAAAGCTATACAGCCGCCAAACAATGTTGGCAGGGCTTTTAGGCGAGATGCCTTTCGGCGAATTCCTGGCTGCAGGCGACCATGAGGTGGGGGTCCTCATCGAGCTGCAGGTGATTTTCCTCACACTCGCCAGCCAACACTGCCATTTCACATTCCGCGGCGCGGCTGCAAACACATGTGATCTTGGAAACCTAGCCATGGCTCCGTACGATTACGAGCTGCCGTTTGGTAAAGAGGCCTGCACTTTTCGGATCCCAAGTGGCGGAATCATCGTGAAATGACGGGCTACTTGTCCAACAAGGAGTATGAAGAATGCCGGAGGGGGAAATGTAGGCGTCGAGTTTCGAGTCCTGAAATAAGTCGGGAAACTCTGAAAGTATCTTTGTACGGCCGTGAGCTTCGCTCAAGGTTGATTGCGTGGGCGGGTCCGAGGATTCCGGTGTGCCCTCTCCATGGCCCATGTTGCTGTGTGTTCGTAACGGAGGTCTTGGTCAACATCACTTTGCCGCTGCGCTGGGACCGGCATGATACGACACGACACGAAGGGGCTCAACAGGATCTGTTCTGATCGCCAGGGTATGCATGCTGAGTGCAGCTGCATTGGGGCCGGGATGTTGGATGTCCCAACTTGGAGACTGGATGCTAGCTGCAGATGGCTCTTGTCGCAGTCGATCCTGCTGTGACCGAGATTCGGTGTGCAAGGTGAGCGTGCTGGATGTCAAATGGGGGCTGGGTTGTGGCGTGGCCGCCGGGCATCACCGGGTACCCAAAAAGAGGTACCTGTGTAGAGAGGGCCTCCCCGTATCGTGCTCGCCTCATTCATGACCTCTCCCCCCCCCCCCACCAATACCACGGCGCTTTCCAGTTCTGCCAGTCTGGCCACTCTCATCCACCTAAGCGTGCAGGATGCGCCAAAGCTGCAGGGTCGGCGGAAGAAGATTGCAAAATGGGATCAGCGTGGGAGGGAGGCGCACACACTGTGCACAGAACAGCACCAAGCGACAACCTGATCCTTGGGACGGGCAGGGGTTGGACAGCCGAGAACCAGGAGAGGTGGAGGGAGGCTGAAGATGTTCGAGGTTTTGAGGTTGTACACCAACGTTCTGTGTTTCTGTGTCCAGAATGATACGACACGCAAGGAGATTGGCATTGAGGTGAGGTGAGGCGAGGCGAGGCGGAAAGAGGCAAATGACAGGCACGAGAAAAAGGAGGAGGCGGACGTCATGAGCTAGCTGTCTGTCGCCTACAGCCTGTTGCGGAGAGCAGAGGTGCTTTGCTGTCGGTGGGCTGTGCTGGTACAGCGGGTTGAGGTTTCGCTCGCACCACACACATGCAGCAAGGTACGTCCTCGAGAAGTACCTGGCCGTTTCGCACCGAGCGCCAGCACCAATCCCCTGCCCGAGCCTCTAGTCTTGTGGGCCGCTCCTTCTCCACTACGAACTTCAACAAACGTGCATTGTTGGACTGAACTGGACTAGACTTGACACTGGACTGGGTTCTTCCGCCCTCTCAATCACCGAGCCAGGACTCGAGGGCAGCTCGCTCACCCGGATTCATAGCCTCCCACGGGCCTCCCTCCTCACACCGGTCAGACGGGCCACGGCAACAGTCCCTGGAGTCCCTGCGACAACGCAGCTCTACGCGGTGTCTGCGTGAGCGGGTTGCATGTATCGTGCACCACATGCCAAACGTCCATTCGCTCGTTGAGCGCTGGCCGGGCGGAGATGATGGCGCGATAGCGGCCGTGTCGATCTGTCTGAGCCCTGAGTTGGGGGCACAGGGAGATGGCATCTGGACATATCGCGCAGTCAGAGGTCAGCAAGCCCGTACAGGACTGAGTGGACAGCTGGGCTGATTGTGCCTCTGGCTTGTGAGACATTCCTTCTACTGACGCACCCTAGACGGTACCCCGTGCAACGTTCAGTCGACTCACAACGGCAACGTCTTTGGCTGGCCCGTCCCTGCCCCGTCCTCGCCCGTCCTGGCCCGTCCCTAGCAGTTACCGTCTCATGCCAGGATGCCCTCAGCCTTAGTCTCGACCTCCTCCAAGGGCTGGTGCACTGCTACCTTCACGATGAACGCGCGGTTCTGCAGGCAGATGACTTGAGGCAAACACCATAGCATATGCATGGCATGGGCACTGTCCGAGCTCGCCGCAGCCCGTGTCTGCGGCGGATCGCATTCACTCATCCAGTCCATTTGCACACGCTTTCAAGCTGCCAACCGACCAAGACCTACCCAGTGCCTCAAGGCAGATCGTCACCAGGATGTGAGAGAGGGAGAGAAGCAGCAGGCATGGGGCCCCTGGTCGCCGTTCCACATACTTGGTATCACGGACCGTACGACTTTTGGAATGCATTCTGAAGACACACCTCCGGGGTAGGTACCTACGCACGGCACTCAAGATCGCCGTCACCTGGTACATGCCAATGAGATGGCCTGTTCTACCACACAGAACTGAAGTCAGCCATCACTTTTACCCATGCCCCCTCCCCTCTGCTCCGACGGGTCCAGGCTATGAACTGCCTCTTCCTGTCTGGTGCAAGATACCTGAGGGAGCCCACAGGTCTTCTCACAGGCCTTCCTTGTAAGGCCTTCCGATCACACACACCGTCAAGATGTATACTCGCCCAGGAACCCTGAAAGGCATGTTATGCTCGACAAGGGGCAAGCACTCCAGTGGAAGTTTTTCCTCGAGCCAAGCTAGCGATCATAGTGCAATGCTGTCCAGGAGCAGCGGCCATACCTGAGCAGAGACCTCGGTGTACCCATATATCTAGTTGCTCATGCACGCTCAGTGAGTGGTGAGTGATAAAGACACACCATCCATGGATGTTCTCATGGCAGCATCCGGTAGCTAACACACCTGCCCACCGTTCGTTTTTATATCAAGCACCTATGTCTACTTTTTGACGCACTTTCTTTTTCTGCGCTCCCCTCCAATCTCCTGTCAGAATTAAGGCGCCAAAAAGAAATCCAACCCCACCGACAGCTTGAACATCGAACGTGCCGTCAGTCTTCCAACGCGAACATTCCTAGGGAAATTCGACCACGGATTGATCCTCTCAAACGACTCTGCTGAGTGCGTTGCTTGGTAACCACACAAGGCGACCAAGAGCGGGATTACCGAGCTACTGTCAGGTGGATCGGAATCTGCGAAGGCAAGTTGCTCAGGTGCCCTTGCGTGTTGTTCTTTTGTGCTCTTGAATGCCCTTTCTGCAAACCCGAGATCTCAGTCGGCCCTTTCCTTAAGCTCGGATCCAGCCGGAGCAGATTCAGCACATATCCGATCCTGATCTTTGTTGACAAAGATGCGCACGTCCTGCACGTCTTCTCTGACTGACCCGACAATCAACGGCGCTAAATCCCTTGGCCCTTTATTGGCTGGAGTGTCATTTGAATTGACGCGATCGACGGCTGCTTCCGCTGCCAACACATTGCCCTCCGGACCAGGAACTACGACGCCATGGCTTGGACCCAATAGCCGGGAGGGCAGGCATTCATGGAAGTCACGACCAAGAAAAAAAAAAAGGGTTTCCGGCCGACAGGGACTGTAAGGGAGGCGGGAGAGAGTGCGATGCCAGTACAATGGCGACTGCGGTCAGGCAACCTCGACTCAGCATGACCAGCATCGTGATTTTGATTCGCGACTTCAGCCACAGACAAACTGACCAATGACGACTGTCAATCCAACAAACTTCCAGCGGCTCTGGACCAATCTGTGCCGTGTGTACAGTATACCACAGTACAACACCCGTATCCCAAACCGCTGCCGCGAACGAGCGAGCCCACCTTTCCCATTAGAGTTGGGAGGCAGATCGCCGGTCGGCTGATCTGCAGCTGGGGGCCTTGCCGCATATCCCGGAGGATTTTTTTGGCGAACCAACCACCCCATCTATCTAAGATCTGCCCGTATCACGCAAGGCAATCGCAAGAGGCTGCAGCTAACAGCTATTCCAAGATACAGACTTCCTTTTCCAAACCCCACCGAGTCACCAGAGGACCCTCTCTGTAGCCGCGTCATAATCGGCACGGCGTCCTGGAAGGTCGGAGACTGCCCCATCCTGCACGCTGCGTTGCAGTTTGACGCCGATCCTCTGCGGTACTTGATTCCGGACCCCACCATCCGGTGTAACCTCGAACACCCACCCGTCCTACTCATCCCGTGGCCTCATACCAGTCACGAGCCAATCATTGTACACCCTTTCGACGAGGATCACGCCTCTAGGCACTGTGACCCCCTTGCTGGACTGCCTCTATCCCCTGCCCCCCTCCCCCCCAGAGGTCCCACTAGTACTGTCATCGATCACTTGGTAAGGGTCCTGGTCCCTGCTCTGTCATCTGGTGTCATTTTGCATCCTTTTTTCTGCCTTCCTTTTTCCCTTCACTCGTTGCAAATTGCACTATGTGTGCATTCTTCCCTCTTCCATCGCGTCCCTCAGGCTTGCTTCATTCGGTACCGCACACTTTGCTTCCATTCCGTGTTACTGCTCGCGATGGCTTGCATCCTCCGGCTATCAGCTCGGTCCTCGCCTGTGGGCCATGTAATCACGGGAGAGCGTCCGTAAAATCTTGACTATCCCACCACCCCAGCTTCTCACTTGACGTTCTCCACGGCTCCGAGGCGTATGGGCGCCCCGGAGCCTGGCCCCTTACGTCGCCCCCAGAACACTGCTTTCCCCTCCGTGCAGACCCCTTTGCTTTTGTCTGCACAGGCCTGGGCAAGTCGCCCATGGCCTACAGACCTTATTCTCGGCTCTCTCCAAATGAGAAGAAGAAAGATGGCTCGGGGGGAGTTTCCACCCCTGTCATCTGACACTTGCAGCTGAGCAGGGCCTGCGATAACAAGCCCCTAGGCGGTCAATATCGTCAAGGGCAAGAGGATGCACTCGCAAACAGGGAGAGATCCAGGACCACCTAGCTAGGGAGGCTCACCAAGGCCTCGACGCCCGTGTCTCTGATACCACATGCTACTTTGCCCTTCCTGGTGCACCAGACCCCACAAATCAACCGTGTATCGCGCTCTCCACGGTCAGTCCGGCCGTGTTAAGAAATGCGGCAGACTGTCCTCCCTTTGCATCTTTCTTGTGCACCTTCCCTTCGGCCATCCTGAACATGCGCGGCAGGCGTCTTACTTTTCTGAGCCACCTTCCCCTTCATCCCGTCTTCTATACTTCATCTAGATCTTCCTCCTGCCAGTGCTGCGGTGCGTGGTGTTGCAACCTTGTCTCGCGTACCTTCTTTCGTCCTCATTATCATCATTATCCTACACCAGGCCCATCATCACCGACGTCCTTCGAGCACTCTGCCCTATGCAAACGCGGACGAACCGTCCACGGGAGCCTACCGCTGGCCGAACCATCGGTCCCTGACTTTCCCTTTGATTGCTGTTCCTGCCAACACCCTCGCCCATGCGAACACGTTCGGGGTGCCCGCATGAGGTCGAATCCCGTCTCCACTTGGGTCGAGCCGATGAAGTCCGTCATCCACTGACAGCACGGCGCAGCATCGGTGTTCCGACGGACCCAGACTTCCTACACGATCTCTTTCACATCCAAGGTACGCAAGAGTCTGTGACCTTGGCTCGTGGAACGTTTTGAAGCTCTTCCATCGGCGCAAGTGCCACAAGAGCCGAGGGACGACCAATGAGACGTCGCCTTGATCGATGTGGCGTCGGCGTACAGCACTCTTGATTCTTTACCCCAGTGATATCATGCATAACATGCTGACCGACTTTCTTCTACAGGTCAGTACCATATGGTCTCATGTTCTCTCTTTGATTACTGCTGCCTCACAAAGCTGCGTTGGAGGGAGGTGCATCACTCTGCCGAGACCCTCAACCCTGGTCCAGCGTCACTGTTGGCTGTCACGGCCAACGGGTAGTGGCCGTGTCTGAGTCTTGCTGCAAGCTAGTTCGTCAAAGACATCTGGACCTGGTCTTAAACTGGCAGAGATCCCTCTTGAAAGCTACGAGACGGTCAGGAGATCAGCATCCGGTCCGGTCCTGAATCGGTTTGATGTCTGTCAGTCTGAGATCCGACAAATCAACAATTCAGCCAACCCGGGATGCTCCTTCTTTCCAATCTCAACGTTTGATCAAGATCAACCACGTCAAGCTCCGCATTGATTTAGGGCGGTTTCGTTCTGAGTGGCGTGCAGGAGAAAAAGCAGCTGGCCACAGTTCAGCTACCTGGCCATCAGCCTCCCGTGTGAAGAGCTTTCTTTCCCCACAGACAGCGACTTCCAGTCGGATGACACGGCGAGAAAAATCAAAGACATCTTTCGGGGGCCGCTGTGCGATCAGATCAGATCAGATCGGACAGACTAAGCTCACATTTGAATTTGCGCAGGCCACACGCATTCCACCATCACTACCACCCTACCCCCAGCATTCGCTCCCGAGACAATTGTCTAGCGCCGGCTCTTTCGCAACTCGCACATCTCGAAACATAACCAACATACAACAGGCTGGATGTCTGCCCTCAAGCTTGACCAGCCCTTATACAAGTTCTTTGAGGTGAGTCGAATGAATCAAGTCAATCTGCCTCACGGTTTTCTCTCGAGTTTCAAAGCATGAGAGCTTGACTACGAGAGGAGGGGATCAAACCATCGAGGACAACCTGCGGCAATCGGAACCATGAATCCAGTTTCGCAATCGTTGCCACCACTCCACGATTCCTTTTGCGGGCGGGGGTGGGGAAAGCGGTCGAATCATTGTGGTCTTTGTAGGACTCTACTGACCTCAAAACACAAATCATAGTCGGGGCTTCATTCTCAACGGCCGATAATTGTCGATTCGGACGCCCTAGAGTCACCTGATACAGTGACCCTTCGCTACGAGGAGGAGGCAGCTGTGCGGGCCAACGGCGGAGGAGGGGACCTGCGAGGCGGCTCGTCCCCTGATCTCCTGCCAATGGCGGCATACAAGCCTCATCCACCCCAGATGCATGGTATTCTACCCCGAGTTCTGGATAAATATGCCTTTCCCATTGCCCCAGAACATACAGAAAGTGATGATGCTAACGAGTCCGGCCACCTACACAGGGTTTTCCGAATCTTCATACAACCAGTACAGCCCGCAAAACCTACCACAAGCACATCTGCATCAGCAAAACGAAAATGCCGCCGCACAGATGAACCACATGGCCTACGCAGCCAATAATGCTGCAGTCGCGTCGAACAACCGCATATCGTACAACTTTGCGCTGGCGCCGTCCGGATTCTCAGCGCAAGGGTCGCAGCCAGATGCAGGTCCCGGCGGCACCAAGATACACTTGCGCATCTCTGGACAATATGACATCTTGTCCGTGACGTCGACGACGCCGTATGTGTGGGTACTCTTCGGGAATGCTGCGCAAAAGAGTCCAGCACAAATGATGAAAGAGTCGCAAGACGCTACCGGCGCATGCACGTACAGTATCACGGTTGATGCACCTCCGTTTGTGGTCACAAATTGGCAAGCGTCTTCAACTGTGCCCCTGACTGTTGTCATTGAAAGCACAGATGGGCATGAGCTTGCACGCGTCGGCTCCGCGGGGTCATTTACATATACGGACGCAGCAGGTGCAGACCTTCCCCAAGGGGCCGCGAGTCCACCTGACGGGTCCATCACGCGAAGAAGTACCACCCGCTCACCTCTGTCACATGAGCATGAGACATCAGTCCTCCATGTCAACAGTCCTCCTGGCCTTACCGTACGCACGAGTGCCACCACCAGCCCTACGACTGAACACCTTCCCGGCGCGCATCAACTGCCGCAACACGATGTCGCAGATCCGTGTACAAATAACTACGGCTACCCATCCGCTGCCGTCGCGCCGTCTCAGTCCCAAGTTCAGGTACCACAAGCGCAGCCGACGACTAGCTTTGGAGCGACAGCCTACGGCCAAAGCAACGACACAATGCTGCACGCTTACCGGACCTCGAATTACTCACACAACCAACATCACTACCAACGGAGCCCGACCTCACTCCGCTCCCCACATCATGGTCTTGGAGGATGGGCCACGTATGGTGGCTTGGACGGTCGCACATCAACATACTCGTCCGCGCACCACACCACAATTACCAGGCCCAGTTTGCATCCTTCGCTGCCCATGCCAAGTGGCGGTCCTCCTACCCTAGTCCGCACGACAAGCATACCACAAGGGACCTCTTCGATGGGACTTGGCGGCAGTTACAGCCCCTTCGTCTCGCACCACAAAGCCATTCTACACATCCAGGGAAACCTGGAATCCATGACAGTCGGCTGGACTCCAGAGGAGTGGGAGAACCGAAGACGAATTGTTATGTTCAAGAAGTCACAATCCGGCAGCCGCCTCACAGCCACCTTTCGAGCGGTCCCTGTCAATGAACGACCGCCGAATAGTATATGCGTCAGCTGCATATGGTGGGAAGAGAGGCACGAATGCTTTGTCACGTCGGTCGACACTATTCACCTCCTGGAGCAACTGGTCGTTTCACCGAACCGGTTCACGGTCGAAGAGAAGAATCGCATCCGGCGGAATCTGGAAGGTTTCAAACCGTTGACCGTGAGCAAAGCAAAGGCAGACTCGGAAGATTTCTTCAAGATCATCATGGGATTTGGGAATCCCAAGCCTAGGAACATTGAGAAAGATGTGAAGGTGTTTCCTTGGAAGGTCCTGGCTCCAGCCCTGAAGAAAATCATCGGGAAATACAGCGCGTCACCATCCTCGACGGTACCCCATTCCTCGCATTCCCATCACACCCTGCTGACGCCGGTAAGTGTTGGAAGCAACAACTATGGTCTACCTCCTACACCGACGACAGCGACGGACCCAACAGGAGTATCGGGCTACATTGGCAGTGCTGGCCTGAGCAGCCACTCAGCCCTTACCGACAGCATCCCATCGCCACGGTCCTTGACCGGTGGGATACCATCCTCATGGGCATCGTACAACGGATCGGGGCGGGATGTGAGCCGGAGCTACTCCCCAACAGGGTTGTTGAAGACGTCATCGCCAGTGCCGAGCTCGAGCCTACGACTGAATGCGCTTCCGACAGCCTACGACACAAGGAGCCCGCAGACGGGACTGTCACACTCGAATCACTACAGCCTGCCGTCGCAAGGTAGCCACCACGGCTTATCCGGGACGCAGACGAGCCAAAGCGGGCGATGGGACTACAGTGTGAATTCAATATCAGACACGGGTGGATACGGCAGCGCTCGAGGGGGGTACAGTGACTATAGCGCGTACGGAGATGGTGCCAGTCAGCGAGCGTGAGCACGGGAGGTCGCAGCATGGGATGAGGTCATCAGGGAGAGAGGGAGGGGAGAGAGAGAGAGAGAGAGAGAGAGAGAGAGAGAGAGAGAGAGAGAGAGAGAGAGAGAGAGAGAGAGAGAGAGAGGTCAAGAGTCATAGACAAGATGGTGGGAGGGGGGAGGGTGCTATAGACGGGAGGCGAATGGGTGTAATAATACGAGACTGGTGCGAACCACCAGCCTCGAGGAGGACTGAGGCGAGAAAGTGAGGTATGGCCAGGATGGGCAAAGATAGACGGGGAGAAGGAGGGAGAGGGAGATGAATGGGAAGGGAAGGGAAGGGAAGGGGAAGTGGGAATGGAAGAGGTGGACGACGTCGAGGCAACAACAAGCTTGGTGGGCTGGCCCAAGAGGGAGCGAGGGAGAGGGAAGCGGAGCGGATTGGATTTTTTTTTTTTTTTGAGTTTCTGTAACTTCTGAGATACCTTACCTGATCATCACTTCCACTTCTCAAAAAGCGAGGTCCATTTTCTTGACATGGGGCGCCACCCGCCACCGGGAAGAGTACAATGCACCTTCTCTTGGGAAACCTGCAGCGGGGAGGTTCCGTGGTTCCCAGTGGAATCAGGACAGACGTCGGAGCAAGCGCGCGAGGCGACCACGGTCCAGGATTGTTTGATTGTACAATGTCGGGAGATGATGATTCGAGAGCCGGGACGTTTCAGCCGGGTGGGCTCGCATCGCATCGCGTCTGTGGATTGTAGAGCGAGGGCACACCACGCTGTTGATCAAATGCAGCCCGCGAGGGCGAGGGTGCGATGGGCGGTGTCCATTTGAAGGCGGGCCCTGTCTATGCCTGTAGGCAGGTGTGTGGATATGTAGGTAGGTAGGTGTTCCATGTATATCTACCTACCAAAGTGGTCCATGTATGTAACTGGGAAAGGGGTCCTCTCTGGCGGCACTGGCAATTGTGCTGCAAGTGCGCCTAGAGAGAAAAAAGTGGCTGCGTCGGCCATCTAAATGTATATAAATGTGGGTGGGGACTCTTTGCCCGCTGATGCAATTGGGTGGGGCGCGCAGAGCCCGTCATGTGGGACTCAGCGGCCAATCAGCAGGCGGCCCGGGCCCCCACGAGGATGCACCTAGGCTTGATCCGAGGGGAACTAGGGGGGGACCGGTGATCAACATGGGGCCGGCGTGTCTATCTATCTATTGTATGTCTGCCTACTAGGACTCTGCGACCTTGCGACAGCGACTTACGACGGCGATGGCGACTGCGGCAGCGACAGTCAATGCGTCTAGATACTGTGCAGTGTCGGGTTCGTCCCTCGACTGCCGCGCTACAGGGTGGTCCCATCCAGCCCCAGCTCCATTCTGTTCCCCATTCCATGTGCCAGTGCCATGACAGATCAGGATTCCGACCGGACCTCACCACCTCGTCCTTCTCCCACCAACCACTCCCTACTCCTCCTCCTCCTCCTCCTCCTCTCATCATCATCAGCAGCATCATCCTACTCCTCGTCATCCTCCTATGCGTCGCCATGTAACGGCGATCCTTGAGTCCTGCACGTACCCACCCCCCATCCAGGATTGACACGAACCCACCCGCACCTTCTGCGAGCGTCTCCCCCAGCTCCCATGCCGCATGCTGCTGCCGTACATGGGCAGAGGGTCTGGACGTATGACACCCACCCATGCTACACTGCAGCGGATGATCTGGGTCAATTGCCCAGGGTTCATCATGCCGTCCTTCCACTCGCGCATCAAAACCCCCACCATGCCCATCAAGCGATGTGTGGCCCAAACCAATCTATTTCTGCAACTCGTGGGTTGGGGGTGTGAAGGGTGGGAGAGCCGGGGGGGGGGGGTATATGGGAGGGACACACAATATCTAACACAGTCAGTCCGGTTGTCCTGCACGCCGTGCGCCCGTCCTATACTCCGTGCCCCCGTCCCCCCCCCCCTCCCCAGAGGCATGGTCGGATCCGGCGCCCGTTCTCAGATACGACGGGCCCTACTGCACGCCTGCATGCATGTGCATGTTTCGAGCTTGTCTTGGAGAGCCCACTGGGCGAGGCGTTGCATGTCATGACATGCATGACGCATTACCACTGGCTTCAACCCGCCTCTTGATATCCGCGCCAAAGTGTCCTTGGGTGCGGGAGGGTCGCGCTGGTGGTTGGTAGCTCGGCTTGTTTTAGCCCTCCAGAGGCTGCCTCTCTGCCTCGCTACCTTTCTTCTTCTACCTGCCGTCCACTCTGTCGTGCAGCTGTCACGCTAGTGACGCCTGTTGCGTATGACTGCTGCGGTTCTCCCGCTCGGGCGGATTTATCCCACGATACGTTTCTCCATGTAGAACATCTCCCGCTGCCGAACCAAATCCTCCTCCCTCTTCGTTGCACTGTCGCGCAAACACCGCCTCCTGCGCCACCCCTCATAACCTGACCTTGTACGGGTGGCCGGCCCAACGCAATGCGAGATCGTCTGATCTTGGGTGATCGCTTCCCCAAGACTCGGGGACACGGGTTGACGGCAGTGCCTCACCTGAACGCCCTCATCCACCGGCCTAAACCCTTACAGTGTGTTGATCTTCTGCTCACGCCCATCTGCCCTACTAGCCCATGCGGTCCGGGGGCGCGGGACTTGCCTCGTGGGCCCCTCCCCCCTTTGCCTATTCCCGAGGCCGCCCGTCTCATGTCATGAGCTTGTCACTTGGCCGTCAAGGTGGCTCCCGGGGACGGGGCACGCGTGTGAGTGTAGGGTGTAGAGTGTAGAGTGTAGCGCGGGCGAGCGGTTACTACCGTGCGCGGACACACCTCTTGGCTATCTTCCTGCACTGTCGAATCATATGACCACATCTCATGTGGGGCTCTAAGCTTCTAGGCCACAGTCAGCCACACTCTCTGTCCTGAGGAAAGAAACCCTCCCCAGTCGACTCATCTTCCCTCTTCCTCCCCTCCCCCTCCCCCTGTCCGGCGCCACCCTGTTTGATAATGTTCTCCGCCTTATTGGCTGGGGACTTTACTTGCACACCCTTTTCTTGAGCCCCCCGGGAATACGACGCGCGTGTTTGCATGATAACGTTGCAGGCCTTTGTTGAGTCAACCTTTCTTTCCTCCGGCACGCGTTCTGAGATCATGGCGACGGTGTCCTTGACCCCTGGGCCTGGGAACGTTTCACTCCGGGTCATGTGTGCCCTCGGAGAGATTATGGTCGTGTTCGGGTACGGCGACGGCATCCTGTCTTCCAGGATGGGAAATTCTTGGGAAGGGCTCACTCTGGGCTCTGGCTCTTGCGAGCATCTTGTGCCGGGTGTGCATGGCCGCAAGCACAAGCTGTGGTATCTTGCTTGCTCATAGTGTGACAATTTTTGGATTATTATTACAAAAGCCAAAGGCATTTATGTGGATGATATATGAATTTAAGATTGAATTCTCTGGGTTCTTGAGAGATAGATTAGTTATATTGTCCTCCTGTCTGGTGGTGGCAAGGCACTATTTTGAACACGTAGAATGACCGTGCCGCGTGCAGTGTGAATGGAAACTTGTGTGTGGACATGCTGATAGTCTCCCACACTTCTCCTTGCTTAGATCTCTATGGAGTTTGAAGCCATCGTAACAAGTATTGCCTCTACGCGGATGGTGAGATGACACGTATGCGGATGTTCAGAACGTCAAATTTCTTTGACAAGCTTATTGCAAATTGCATTGAGGTTCGATATGGTATTGCTACAGTGAATCGAACTTTCTCTGCCACGAAGTTAGATCTTGCTTGTTGGTTCTCATCCTTATGTGCAATAGTATCCTATCCTTATTTACTTCCACTTAGGTTGCTGTGCTCTGAGGGTAAAAGCTGAGACAATGACCATGAAGTGGACGACCGCGTTTGGACTGAACGGCAAAAAGCCAGCTGCCTTCCTCCACAGAACAATTAGAAACCATCACCGGTATTCTGAGATTGCTTCAAGTTGTAGCTCAGCCTAGGGCTTTGAAGTCTCCTGCAATTCTCAGGGGTATTGCTGCGTGGCTTTTGAGCATACACGTTGTGATAACTCTGGCACTCATCATCAGAGAAGAATTGTACATGAGATAGTAGGGCCTCACTCTAACTTGAACGGTATTAATTTTTTAGTATGATTCACATAAACGCTATGGGTAACAGGTAGAGTGAGAGTCTTTATGCAGAATGAATGTAGAGTGTGTAGTCTTTGTCATGCGAAGGAAAAGTACACCGTTGGTATTCAGTGACTTAGGATGTTTGAGCATTGACTCTTTTTTTCCATTTTGCCTCTTCTCCCAGCATTCATCTCAAGTAAAAAAAGCCCTACACTTCAAGATGGGCAGGGTTGTAAAATTAGTTTTGAGTTTTAGTTAAACTAAATGTAGTTTTTAGTTTTAGTTTTGAGTTAATACTTTTTTAAAAACTTAATGTAGTTTTTAGTTTTTAATTAAGCCTATTAATTAAAACTAAAAAACTATAAACTAAATTAAGTTTAACTAAAAAACTAAAAAATTAAAAATTAATTAAATTAAAAAAAAAAAGAATTAAAAGAATTAAAAGAATTAAAAGAATTAAAAGAATTAAAAGAATTAAAAGAATTAAAAGAATTAAAAGAATTAAAAGAATTAAAAGAATTAAAAGAATTAAAAGAATTAAAAGAATTAAAAGAATTAAAAGAATTAAAAGAATTAAAAGAATTAAAAGAATTAAAAGAATTAAAAGAATTAAAAGAATTAAAAGAATTAAAAGAATTAAAAGAATTAAAAAGAATTAAAAGAATTAAAAGAATTAAAAGAAATTAAAAGAATTAAAAGAATTAAAAGAATTAAAAGAATTAAAAGAATTAAAAGAATTAAAAGAATTAAAAGAATTAAAAGAATTAAAAGAATTAAAAGAATTAAAAGAATTAAAAGAATTAAAAGAATTAAAAGATTTAAAAGAATTAAAAGAATTAAAAGAATTAAAAGAATTAAAAGAATTAAAAGAATTAAAAGAATTAAAAGAATTAAAAGAATTAAAAGAATTAAAAGAATTAAAAGAATTAAAAGAATTAAAAGAATTAAAAGAATTAAAAGAATTAAAAGAATAAAAAGAGTTAAAAACAAAATAAAATTTATTTCAAGAGTGATTCAAACCCCTAGCTATTAATACATGATATAACATATAATTATAAGCAAGGAATTTATATTATATTTATATATTAATAAATTAATAAGCATTATTATAATTATTATAAGTAATTATTATAAATTTTATTAACGCTATATATAACTATATTATATATATTATAAAATTATGAAATATATATAATTTAGCTTTTTTATAAGTATATATAATGTATATATTATATATAATATATATACCCTATACCCCCCCCCTTCCCCTTACCCTTAGCATAACTACCTAAATATAACTATTAATATTTTAATAATTTATAAAGCTATAAATATAAATAAAATATTTTTTAAAAGCTTATATTTTAATCTTTATATATAAAAAACTTTTAAAATATATTTACTCTTTAAAAAAATAAATATTTAACTTTAATTAAGTTTTACCTTAAATAAAAACTTAAAATACTTTTTAATAAAATTATATAATAATATTAAATTTTTTTTAAATATAAATATTATATTTTTATACAAATTTAAAAATTTCTATAAATAATAAATAAATTTATTTAAATAAATTTATTAAAACTTATATATCCTTATAAATACTTTAACTTTAAAAATAGCTATAAAGCTTATTAAGGCTTATTTATTCTTATAAATACTATAATTTAAAAAGTAGCTATAAGGCTTATTAAGGCTTATTTACCCTTATAAATACTATAACTTAAATAGTAGCTATAAGGCTTATTAAGGCTTATTTACCCTTATAAACACTTTAAGTTTATAAGTAACTATAAAGCTTATTTTAGCTTAAAAGAAGTTTAAGGTAATTAACTATTTAAATTAAATAGTTTTAAAATTTAAGATTTCATTATAATAAAAATATATATTATTTAAATTTAAATTAAATATATTTAAATAATTATATAAAAGATATATAAGAATTTTCCTTAAATTATTCTTTATTTATATATATTTTTATATTATTTTAAAAGCTTATTAATATTTTAAAAATTAAAATATTATATATTTCTTTAAGTAAATATTTAGCCGATTTAAAGGAATAAACTATTTAATTTAAAGGAATAAACTATCCGTTTTTTTTTATATATATAAACCTTTCTTTCTTTCTTTTTCTCTTTCTTTCTTTCTTTTTTCTTTATTACTCTTTAAGCCTACTTTACCTATTTACTATTTCCTTAAACCTTAACTACTTATATACTTTTATTATTTTATTTATTATATATAAATAAAATATCTTTTTTTACTTCCTTATCTCTTATTAATTCTTTAATAATTTTTATTAAGAATTATAATATTTCTTTTTTAAAAGAAAATTTTTAAATACCTTTTATTATAAAAGATAAATTTAATTCCTTAACTTATAAACTCCCTTTTTTTAAAAAAATAAATATTTATATTTTTTAAAATAATTTATTTATTTATATACTTCTTTTTATTAAAAAGGGAAAAAATCAATAAATATTAATATCTTATACTTAATAAGTTATTTCTTTAATCTTAAAAGCATATAACTTAATATAAATAAAATTTATTTTTTAAATATATTTTATTTATATTTAATTATATTTATATTAAATTATAGTTAGCTAAATATAATATAAAGCTATTATTTTAAAAAGCATTAATAATAAGAATATATTTAATAATATTCTTTAAAAGCATTTAATTATATAATTAATATATAAAATAATTTAAGAAAGATATTATTTAAAGTTTTTTTTATTAAATTAATATCTTACTTAATTTTTAAATTAATATTTATTTAAATATTCCTATAAATATAAAGATAATTTAAAGCTTTTTTAAGCTTTAAATTATTAATATTATTATAAAGTAAAATACTTTATTATTCTTTATAATAAGGAAAGTAAAAAGACTTAATTAAAAAGTAAGTATTTCTTTTATTTTAAATATTAATATAAATATTAATATTATATTTAAGGGTTTTTCCTTTTAATTTCTTTGCTATTTTAATAAAGAAATTAAAAGAAGATTTTATAAATAATAATACCTTTAAAAAGATTTTAAATTTTATTATTAAAAATAATTTACTTTTTAATATATTAAATTTAAAGTTTTTTTAAAACTTATTATCTTACCTTAACTTATAAATAATTTTCCCTTTTTATTATTATTTTTTAAAAAAAATTAATAAAATTTTAAATTTATCCTTATAATAAATTATTTAAAAATTAAAAGTATTTTAAATAATACTTTTAAAATAAATTTAATAAGGCTTAACTTAAAATTAAAAGAAAATATTATCTTTAATAGTAAATTTTTTATTATTTTTAATTATTAAACTTTTAAAGTTAATATAGCTTATTTAAGGGTAATAATTTCTTATTTTATTTTAGAATTTTAATTAATATATAAATTAATTAAATTTTCTAAGTTAAAAAAGAAATATATTAGCCTTATTCTTTTCAAAGAATTTTAAAAGTTTATTAAAAGTTATTTTAATATAATATTTAATAGCATTTTTAAATATTTAATTCTTTTATTATTTAATAATATATTATATATTAAATATTATTTTTATTAATTTTACTTAGGATAATGCATTAAATAATAATTCTTTTTTTACTTTATTTAAAGAGAAATTTAATTCTTTTTTAAATAAAGATTTTAAAAATAATACTTAATATATAACGTATATTATTAATTTAATAGCGTAAAATATTTTAAAGAATTTTACTTTAAATTTAAAAGTTAAAGATTATTTAAATAAATATTTTTAAAATCTTAAGGAAATTATAATATTAAATAATATTATTAAAAATAATAAGTATTTCTTAATTTCTTTATATTTTTATATATTAATATTTTTTAAATATAATAATTTTATATATAATAAATAATTATATTAACTTAATATAATATTAAGATTAATAGTTTATTATTTAAGGGTATTAAAAGGGTTATATAAAGTAAATCCTTATTAAAGGATTATAAAAAATCTTATATCCCTTTAAGTATTTATTTAATATTTCTTTTTATAAATAATAAGAGAAATTAAATACTAACTTAATATTAAATACCCTTATATATTAAAATTTTACTTATATAATATTAAAGGTTTTCTTAAAATTAAAGGAATCTTTAAATTATATAAGTAAAAATACCTTAAATTAGGAATATAAAGATATATTCTTTAATATATTTAAATTATTTATTTTTATATAAATTAAAAGATTTTTTAAAGTCTTTTTAAAACCTTTTATTAAATTATAAGGAAAGTTATATATAACTCTTTCTTAAGGGCTATTATATATTTATTAAATATATAATAAATTAAAGGATTTAATAAGAAAGTATAAGAAAAAGTATAAGCAAAAGCTAAACTTTATAAGTTACTTTTTATTTTATTTTAAAAGAAATATAATATTAATTATATAAATAAAAAGAATATTTATTTATATTTATTAAAGCTATTAAAATTAGCTTAAATAAATTAAAAAAATATTTTCTTTAAAAATTAATTAAAAATAATTTAAAAGATTATAAATCTTTTATTTTAACTTTAGTTTTAAACCTTAGCTTTAAAATATCTTATTTTTAAGTAAATGAATATTTATACTTTTATTTAAATATAAAAGAAGATATTAAAGCTTTCTTAAGGGTTAAGTTTAATAAGTAAGTCTTTTTATTAATTATTTTTTATTACTTTTATATTTATATTAATATTTATTAAGGTTAAATTAAAAGTTTTTGGTTTAAATAAAGATATATATTTAATTCTTTACTTATTAATTCCTTTTAATAAAGCTATAATTTTAATAATAAATTATATATTAATTCTTTTTTTAATAATAATAAAGAAAAGTATATAATTTATTTATAAGAACCTACTTATAATTTTAAGATATGTATTTTTAAAAAAAGATTTAAACTTTTTTAAAAATAAATTTTAATATTTAAATAGCTAGATTTATTAAAGTATTAGAAAAATAATAAATTTTAATACCTTATATTAAGTATATTAATTTAAAGATACTTTATTATTCTAGCTATATTTATTATTATAAAAAGAATATTTTCTATTATTAATAATATTATTATTAAGTTAAGAATAAATCTTAATATAGAGATAATAAGGAAATTAATATTATTAAAGAATTAGAAATTTAATAATATTTAAGAGTTGGAAAAGGAAATTAAAGATTTAAAGGAAATAATGGATTAATAAATTTTATAATATATTTTATAAAGTTTATTTAATTTATAATATATATATATATATAT